CCTAAAATTTTGGCTGGATCCGCCCATGAAGACCCATTAGCCACTAGCAGTAAACTTGAAAATTAAATGCTTAAGTCTTTTAGTTATTGCTACTATTAGAAAAATATTATCAAAATACTATGAATATATCATATTGAGAGAAAAATTAATAATAATAATAATGATACTGAATATTAATGATGACGATGTTGGTAATAATAGCCGAGGTAAGTAAATAGTAGAATTATCTCAATACTAAAGGCCCATGTTCTTGACGAGAATAAGCAGCAGAAACACAAGTCATTCCAGCTATTCTTGGATCTTGGAAGGACCTATCTCCTATTGCCTATCGCCTTTGGCGATAACGTTTTTTGAATTAGGTGTAAATATCAAAAATAAGAGAAAAGCCGAATTAACACTGACAAAAACATGCTAGCACTTTTTATGCGACTTTTTCAGCAGAACGTAAAACCAAAAGTTATAATCAGTCTTTTAAACTTCTTTCATACTTCGCAATATTAGTATTATAGCGGCTTTCTGATCTAGAGCCTTCTACAGTCAACTCTCGCTTTGTGGACACCCCGATATTACGGACACCTTGCTATTACGGACAGGAAAAAAATCCGAGACAAAAATAATGACGAAGAAATGTCCGTAAATAATTTTCGCTATTGCGGACGTTCGCTATTACGGACATGAAGTGATGGTCCCGAGGGTGTCCGCTGTAACGAGAGTTGACTGTATCTCCATTCAAGCTTGTTTGTCAAAACCAGTCTAACAGTTGAACAGGTGGCTTTTACAATACTTTGCAGGGACGGCGGAGCAGTTTTTTGATTGGGGGGGCTCCATAGTGACATTGTATGACAAGGTGAGGGGTTGAGTTTAGTGAAAATGTATCAACATTTCACAAAAAGTGGGGGGGCTAAAGCCCCCCCCCCCCCCGGCCCCCCCGGTTCCGCCGTCCCTGCTTTGAATCCGTTTCTTTCTTTAAGGGAATATTGGGAAGGCCATTGCATGAGCGGATCAGTGTGTATAAGTTAATTTTTGTTAATTTTGTTAATTTATTATTTTAAATCTTTCAACCCGATTCAATGTCAAATTCTTGAAACCATAACAAATGTCGTGACTGAAGTTTTCAAATATTATGCTGTTTTTCTTCTTTCTCCCTCTCCCTCTCTCTCTCTCTCTCTCTCTCTCTTGCTCAAACCAGTTTGAACTTATACGCGAACGTTACTTTATTCCTAGAGAGGCTGGAGATGGTGACATTGCAAAACCAGTTATGATGCTTTAAAGAAATAGTTTCAGCCTTTTTAGTATATCTTAATCTAAGAGAAAAGACTAATCAAAGGAACTTTCCTTCATATAAATCCATCATATACATACACACACACACACACACTTCATATACTGTACATACATATATACACGCATACTTCATATACACACATATATACACATACATATTATATTATTATAAATACAAGCAGTATTCGAGACACTTAACACTCATAAAAGCAGGTTAGAAGCGATCCTGATTTAACCTTATATTGGTTGTAAAGTTTAATAAAATTTTGTTTCCAATCAAAATAGTCAAACGACGAATTGGCAAAACAACCTTGGTTGACCTTGTCAGTTTGAAAACTTTGATTAAAGTTAGACTTAGATAATTCTTTCGTTTCTCAGCAAGATTTCGCATATTCATTCCATAATTTGGCAATTGTCATTAACTTTTACAGTCGCGCTAATTCTTGTTAGTATTAGTTTATTTTCGTGAGCAAGGATTTCCATGACCTACCGACTAGCCCAAGTTCAGGTGGCATTTTCACACCATTACCTCAAAACATGGCTTGTTAATGCAAATCACCCAAGCATCATTTAGAACAATACTCTGAACTGAACTCAACCTGACTGCTAACAATGGATAAGCGTGGCTAAAGCAAGAGGGGGTAGTTTTCCAAAGAATAGAGCGAAACAGTTGATTCTAGCGGAATATCCTGCCGAGTTCAAAGAAAAGACATGTTTATCCGACCACAAATTGTCTAGCACTAGATATATTGTGTAGGCTACACGGGCAGGTGGCTTTAGCATTAAAAATATTAAGATAGAAATTCCTTTACTTTTCTTCCCAAAAGGGTTCCATTTTCAAACACAAGTCAATAAAAACCTGAGCAATACATGTGAAAGCGTCTAATGTTCAAAAGAGGAAAATTTAATAGCCCAAAAGAGGATCTCCTTGACTTCCTACCGTAAACACCCAATCAAAACAATTGCCAAAGTAATAGAACTGTAGTCTATCTTATTGGTGCCCATAAAATTGATTTTATCAGAACTCGGGGTTTTAGACTCTGGTTTTCAAGTAATGAAATGATATACATGAATAGTTTGAGTTGACTACAAACTATGAACCCAGAAAGAAGTGTTGCTAGTTGAATGATGTTTCTTTATCTTTATGACAGTATAAACAGCCTTTTATGTTATACTACAGCTTAAAAATCAACACTTTTCACAATTTTCACATTTTGAAGCATAGATCGGAATTGGTTGAACACTGCTAACGAAAGAGTCTAATTTAGTCTTTCATTTTTATGGCAAATACAAAACTTTATGAATGGAAAAAAAAAAAAAAAAAAAATCTGAAAACTTATAGACTGAATAAATATAAATTCCTTGAAATTTGTGCAGTGAACAAAAGCAATTTTTAATTCAGCCATAGAAGGGAGTTATTTTCGTCTTTTCTTTAAAAAAAGCAACTCAAAGATGCATTGTCTCTTTATTTTCAACTGACGATTCGATACTAAACATCTCTCCAGGGTGTCTATGTTCAAGCTGCTAGTCCGCAATGGGTCGTTTATATGTTCGTCGCTGTCTTGAGCGAACGTACAAGTCTTCAATGAAATAGCTATGGTAAATATTTGTGTAAGGTGAGCTTGTCTTTGTTCTCAAGAGGATTTTCTTTAAAGATATTCAGTAATTTGCTTCTAAGAAAGTTTCCCATTAATTTTCAAAAATAATACCTGTAAGCTTGTCAAATGTAGTCGTGGTTTCTAGGGTTTTCGTGGCAGGAAAGTAGTTGGAAATTAGTTTGGTTTTTTAAATGGAATTTACTAGAATTTAAACCCATAAACGATTTAAACTATGAAAAAAGAGATGCTGGTCATATTTTTGAGAAGAAATTGCTTTTTTTTCTGTCCAAAGATGAAAAGATTTGTCAGTTCAGGAAAGAAAAAAAAAAGACAAGAATATTCAAATGAAATGTTGTAAAACCAATTCAAAAACTACTTAATATGAATAGTATTTTGACTAAAAAACTGAAGTAAAAGAGACTTGGGTATACATGAATGCGTCAAGTTAGGAAATTGGAAAAAAAAAAACTTTAAATATGTTGGTAACCTTATCCTATGTCGTACAAGGGTTTTATATCTTTCTCGAAATTTGTAGTCTACCAGTAGCTGGAATCGTTGATTTCTGGATTTCTTAAAATAAAGTTGAATATTACTCGAGGCAAGAGGCAATGGCGAAGAAGAAAAATGTTGAATTCAAAGCGGATAAGTCTTGTCTGTATGAAATATTATATTTATTAGGGTTTGGTGATTTCATAGAGCAAAGGTACAAGTGCTTTGAATGCTGTAGTTCCTAAAAAATATCTGTAAAAATTTTACAGAATGTCTTCACATAGTAGAAGACTGTAAGAAATTCATAAGAATTGCGAAGAAGGAATGCAAAAAGCATGCATAATAGTATAAATATTTCGAAATATAAGATTCCTCAATTTAGCTTATATAGCAGTTCTGGATTCAAGATACGATTAATTATTGAAAAGCCGAAAGTCTTCATGCGTTTTTATTCACAAAAAATTTAAAATCTTTTCATGCAAGACGTGTTGTAAAGTAAACACCATCAACTCTAACTTCATGCCCCTTAATTTGAAAGTCAGTTCAAATATTTTGTAAAAAATTCGTGAATAAATATTTGGAAAAGATATCAATATATGTCGAATATAATCGTCTTGAAATTAAATTATTTTATCTAGCGAAGTTTAATGGCCTTACTTGGCCACTCCATGCATCAAAGTTACCAGAGAAAAATTTAATAGATTTAATAGTGCTTTTCATTAATTTTAGGCAAATTTCATTTCTGTCTCAAAACAACGCGATTACCACTTTTAAAAGTGTGGCTAATTTAAAAGGAGATCTAAAATGACATACTTTTAGGATTTTTTTCGCGAGGTTTAAAAATTCTTCAAGTAAATTTCAATTTTAAGTCAGGTATATTTTGGGACCTCATATCGATAACCTTATTTCCAATAATTTATATCGGTGGCTAGATAGAATAATTGTATATGCATTTCCAGCCCACTCAGTGCCTCTACAATAGCCAATTCGTGTGTCTATTATATGTTTGTACACTCCTCATTAAGGACCTGCTAGGAAAAGTATAAACGACTTTAGAAAATAGTAAACATTAGCACAATTTGTGCTTTGTTAACCATGGATTTTTCTTCTTCTACAAAAGACGAAAACATTTCTAACGCTCAAGCGAGCGACGAAGACCGAAAGGATCGAATCTTCCTTTTTTTTATGGAAAAAAATTGTATACTTCTTTCTGTCGGTTTTCTTTTAAGTGATTTTTTATCATGCATGTGCTTCATCGTTGTGTTGTTTGAGTTCATGTTTCTTGGAGAATCTTTGCCTGCAGACTTTACATTGATACGGTAGATTGTCAGTATGAGTGTGCATGTGGAACTTTAGGTTGGACATTTTGTTGAACGCACGTTGGCATTTTGTACATTTGAATGGCTTTTCTCCGGTATGAATCATGATATGGTTACGTAGATTCCCCTTTTGGTGGAATCCTTTTCCGCATATGTCACAAACGAAAGCTTTTTTTTCGCTGTGTGTTCGAATATGAGTCTTAAGCGTTGACGATCTGTTGAAGGACTTGTTACAAGTGTCGCACTTGTGAGGCTTCTTTTGAGTGTGGATGATTTTGTGCCGACATAACGTGCTTGACAATCGAAAACCCTTGCCGCAAATGTTACACACAAACGGACGACTCTCGGTGTGGTCTGGCATTTTAAGATGAATAGAAAGTGTGTATTTCGTTTTGAAAATCTTCCCACATTGATCACACCGATGAATAGCTTTATTGGCCCGGTCTTTCTTAATCTGATTGGCTTTTTGTTTACCCGCTTTATTAATTCCAATACAGTTTGTTTGAGGTTCATCTTCTTCGCCACTGCTGGAGAAGTGTACACTGCTGTCTGAATCATCGTACGTTCTGCATCGTTTGCTCTTCTCTCCATACTTCAGCCTGACATCTTTTGAATGATTTCTTGCGGCATCTATGCAACCAGACGGATTCTTTTTATTATTAATGAAATCAGTTTCCAAGGACAAATTTTTGGCCGTGTTATCCAAAGAGCCGCCAACACACACATCAGCAGGATAAGAAAACTTTCCTTTACGCTGCGAGACAACATCTACTTTTTCGGCCTTGTTTTCCCGTAAAATCTTTGAACGAAACCCCTTGCCTACATCACTGTCGACCTTTGCGTTCACTGAAATTAAATCAACGAATGATACTTCCATCAATGTTAAATGAACATGAAGCTTTTTCGGATTCAGAAGCAAATGGCTGGTTAACATACTCAGTTTGTTTTAAGAAATTACGATTGCTTGCTAAATCTAACATTCGCTATCCAAATATCTACTTGTCAATGAGGATGACACTTACCTCTATGAGGACTTAGGGGAGAGGGCCACTCTAAGGCATCCGCTTTCATGAAGGTCCTCTTTAGCAGGAAAGCTTTAGGCATTTTTTCGTAATTCCGAATGATATTCAATTTTCTGGTGTTGAAGGTCTTTGGTGGCAAAGTCACCAAGCGCGTGTTATTGCTTCGACGGTTAGGAGACTAAAACTGAGACGAAATGATCATAAGTGTCCTTTTCTATTGATGGCGGAAAGCTATCGTTCCGAGAGGTCTTGGCTGCTATGGATTAATCTCTTAACAACTCCATTTCATATTGTGGTTGCAGATCTGTATGCCTTTTGTCTTGGAATCGTATAACAGCCACACTGACCAATCAAATAACAGCACCCTAAACAACCTGCAAACATTCTTCATAATTCATGGACTGTACATATGAAAATAACAGCCCGTTCACCTGCTGTTCTTAGTAATCATTTGTAGGCTCTTCTACGAGGATTCTTCTATAATCATACCTCTAAAATCGAGGAGATATCCCAGAAGAATTTTGGGATCGATTTGAGGCAAAAAATACGGACATTTGGTATATTTTTGTGGTTGATTCGAAGCTTTGGACACATCGTGTTTTTTCCTAGGGTTTTCAATCGCATGCAAATACCCAAGCCTTGGTTGTACTGAAATATTTATTCCTCTCGCTATAGGGTGCAAAAAGTGTTGTTTTGGGAATCCCTGTTGATATTCGGAGTTCATTGGCTGTCTCTTATAATGAGTTCAACCCAAGGGACGGCCAACTTTTTTCTCCTAACCACAAACTTAATGTTTTCACCCCCTAAACTCTCAATGTTTTGTTCAAAAAAATCTTCAATATTCTTTACTGCCTGTTCTTTTCTAGGAGATCAACAAACATTGCCTCTATTTTTTTGCGATAATATTCTTTGCAATATCTTTAATAGTCCATGAAAGTTTTTCCCCAAAAAAAGTTCAAAAACTAGCCGGGCAAGCAATGTCACAAACTCTCTTACACAATATTTTCAAAATACATTTTAAGAAAGAACCAAAGTCGAGTTCCGGATGAAAGAATTTGGATGATTTGTTTTCAAGACATAAATAAATACTGAGTCTGGTAAATTCTTTTTTAAGAACTTCTATAAATATTTGGGGATGATACAAATGTTGACACAAAGGTTCTAAGCAACAAGATGACACTCTAACAGTTGCATTGCATTCGGAATCGTTGAACAAAAAAAACCAAATCTTTTGGGGGCCTTTAACAAAACCTGTTTACCTTGGCATCAAATTTCCAATGTTCATTTTGTCATTGTTCTAGAGTCAATCTATTTAATTTACCTAACAGTAGGTCTCAGAGGGAAGGTGCACGATCATTGTACTCCATACAGGAGCTAATTAAATAGGACGTGTGTCTATTATTATTGGCAGCTGGTTTGTATTTAAAAATATCCACAACTATAAACATCAATATGAGAGTCTATTGAAACTGGAAAGTGATCTTCATGCCAAGACTTTAAAGGAATTTTATTAACCACCTTTAAAAAAATGAAAAACTCTTAACTCAAATCCCTTAATGATCTTTCTGTGGTCGCCTAATAAGAACGATTAAAACTGTCAGATATTCAAGATTAGGGTAGAGATCTTAACCAAAATTGACCAAGAATTATCGCAATTAGATCAATAGAAAACAATTTCATTTTTTCGGTAGAGATGCAATAGGAAAGCTTAAAAGACCTTTAAGCCTTCTGACGATCGAGACTGACAACAGCCTCGCGGCTGCCTAGGGGCCAATCCCAACCTTAACCAATATTAGCCACGCATTCTCCACAATATATCAATTGAAAACAAAATAAACTTGTTAAAGTTCAACTTCTTGGTGAGCGTGTTAATAAAGAAGATTAAAAGCTATTTGAGGATTGAGATTACTAGGTTGCCTGCATATAGACGTCTCTGCCAGCCAATATTGCTTTAAGTAATCGGAGAGGACAAAATGAAAATATTTGCCAGATGCAAAATCGCGTTTATGAATCGAAGAATGCACTATTGTGTCGGTATTTCTGTGAAAAAGACCCAAAGTTAGAATGAGTAATTGCATTAGGACTGAAAAGTAAGGTAAGACTCTCTCTCCGGGCCTTCTACCACGAAATGATGTACCATTAAATAAGAAGTCATAAAACTGAGAATATATGAAAATCAAAATTATTATTGACAAAGACGAAAATTGAAATGTTTTTGAATTATCGCTGGTGGGGAAGCCGAATAACTGTTTCCTTTTTTTAATCTATGTCCCAGCAAAAGAGTCTACATTCTCAGAATATATCATACTTGTGAAAACTAGCAAGGTTTTATGTTTACTTCGACACGTACATTATTTTATTTCTTTTAAAAACGTTAATATTAAACGCATTGGCCAGTGCAATGATAATCACTTTTCAACAATTCAAAAATAATAATCTTTTGCCGTAATAATTTGTTTTGTGGTTTTGAAAGTTACGCTGATTCATCAGATTCGCTAACATTGGATTTGAGCGCGCATTTCCCATACCTATCTTGTAAAATAGTTAGACCATTCCAAACACACAGGAACAGTTTGGATAACTTAATGTTTAATTCAAACAACAAGAAGACAATTGAAGACGAGAAACTCAGAAAATATCTCGCTTTGCAAGAGAAGGAAGAGGTAACCGAAATAAGTGTAAATTTTGGAAGAGGGAAAATCGAGTTAAGTAAAAGAAACATAACGAAATGAAACTTCGCCATTAATTTTGACTTGTAAAACCTCGGCATAGAGAGAGGCAGAGAATTGGCAATGAACTATCGAACTATTGATTGACCTTAATAATTGTACGAATTTAGTATATAGTACAAGAACCAAGATTTATTGAGAATTCCAAAGAGTTAATTAGGAGGCTTGGGCTAGCTTTAAAGCTCTCGAAATCTTAAAACTTCTTCTGCGAAGCAAAAACTACGTAAGAAAAGTTATCAAATTGACGGGATAGAATGCGCATGAACGGTGCTATTAAAGTTCGTGGAAAAGTACAAATTTATCCTAAAGGTAAAGAGCTTAATCTGCAAACAATTTACTAATTTCTATACTAAATTTGAACGGTTCTTCCTTATTTTGTCACCTCCGAACGAAAGTTCTCAACATTGTGAATGCTCGTCATTGAATTTTTTAATTTTAGATTTTAGCATCGTTTTTAACTTTTGAAAAGTGTAATATCTAACATCTTTCTCTTCACTTATTGTCGATCTTTTCCAAGCGTTTCTTTCATAATCAAATACTATATTCATCTATAGATTTTATGTTAAGGTATTAAAAAATTATGAAAATGGGTGTAAGGAGTTTAGTGTCTTTAACGCAAAAAAAAAAAAAAAAAAAAAAAAAAAAAAAAAANAAAGCAAGCAAGGAAATATTACTATTATGCTTTCGACCAAACCTCTTTTTTTCAGATCTTTTTCCCATTCATTTTCATGCGCGATTTTTAAGGCAACTTTATTGTCGTTGGCATCTTGTTTGGCCGCGAAGATTAAAGTTACGCTTTTTCAATCATACTATTTTTGCTGAAACAAGAACAAGGTATAAACATAATAATCAGGGGAACAATACTTTCTTTATGACTTGAGATAATTCTATATATAGAACATTTTTGGCATGTATTCTTATTTTCATGAGAAATATCGAAATCCATAAACTAACTTTGAAATTTAGAATTTCAACTGAGCTGCACGTTTTTTCAAGAAATTCAAGGTCGTGTCTTTCGAGTTGAGTTTACTTTCAATATTTTCTACTTGGCTTCAGTGTAGATTGTTTATAACTATCCTGGCTTTCCGAAATTGTAAAAACAAGTTTTGATMTGATGAATAATGATATTTATCCTGGATATTTATACAAGTTGACGATTTATTATTTTTGTTTTAAACAAAGCGAACGGGCGACAATCCTGAGAATGAATAGAGTGTCCTTTCAGCAAAAGCATCTTCAGCATTCTGTACTCAAGTTGCCTGTGTTTTTTGGTGAATAAAATGCTCTCAAACTGTACAATTGACTTGAAAAGGCCATCTGAAGAAAGATTTTGGTGTGAATAGTAGGACTTGAATGAATCAATTTAGAAGCACGCGTCTCGCGGCGGGGAGTCAACAGGCGCTTAGAAACGACCTTGAAGCGTTGAGCATTAGTCATTACTCCAACGCGTGGCCTTCTTTTTGAAAACGACAAAAAGAAACCTGTTCAATTGAGCCTTTTTTGTTGAAAAACACCCAACAAAGGCATAATTTTGAAGCAAAATTAAATCGCCTGAGATTTTGCAGTAAAAAAAATTTCAGGACAACTTGCTAAGAAAATAATCCAAAAAGCAACATGCATCTTAATCAGTCGTATTTCACTTTGAAAATGCAAGCAAGTTTTCATTTATTTTTTGCTCTAGAATTTTTACAATTCGTAATTATAACAGAATAAAACTAGAATCCTTAATTAGCTTGGGCTATTAATATCTTCATGGACAGATTATATTTTTAATCTTTTTTCTCTAAAGTGTTCACAAATAGATTATTTCAGTCCACACTCTGTCAGTTGTACAGCTTTAGGCCCTGGCTAAACGAGGAAACATGTTTACCGCGCGCATGTTTCCTCGATGTTTCCAAGTTTAGCCACATGCGAAACATTGCTGCGTGTAGCAAATTTTGCTTCCAAGACGCAAAAAATGTTTGGCTGTGCGGCAGAAACATTTCATGTTTCCAAGACGCATGGAAACATTGTTTCCCGATGTTTCCTGACAGTCTTGCCAGCTTATGAAACATTTAGGGAAACATGTTTCCTCGTTTAGCCAGGGCCTTACGAGAACAAACTTATTTTTAAAAAATATCTAAATAAGTTGATATTTGTATCTAAATTTTCTTTATATATTTTAGAAATAATTTTCGCAAAATAACCATTTATCAGGTGACTCGTAGGTATAATTTGAGAAATATTTTTTTTTCACCTGATTTAAAGACATGTATATAATTTCTCTTTATGTATGAAAGTGTCACAATTATAATCATGGTTTTAAGATTGATGTGGTAAATTGACTTGCTATTTTATTTGAAATTTTGAAAAACAGAACCAGATATGGTTATAAAGCATTTTAAAAATCCTTCAGTTTAATTTGGAAGAAAATATATTATAATATTTATAAGAAAACTACAATTTCAACTCCAAACTAAACCAGTCTACTTCTGAAAATCATTTACTGATCGTGGTTATTCAAAAAAAAAAAAAGTTTTTAAAGCTAGCTAATAGTTTGACAGAAGTTATTTGTTTCTCGCGGCATTTTACTGATTTTGATGTCAAATCAAAGGAAATTTTTTGCGCAGACGTTTTTCACTTGTGAAGCACGGGTGGCGTAGCGGTGAGAGCGCTCGCCTCTCAGCAATGCGACCCGGGTTCGAGTCCCGCTGAGTTCGGTGTCGTATGTGAGTATAGAGTTGTTTGTTGGTTCTCTCCTGTGCTTCGAGGGTTTTCCGGGTTCTCCGGCTTTCCTCCCTCCGCAAAAATCAACTCCTAAATTCCAATTGGAATTACAGTGGATGAATAGCTATTCTGTAGAAATGCCACTGTTAAATCCCATTCATTTTTTTATTTAATTTATCATTATTTTTGAACATTTCAATATGGTTGTATACAGTTTTAGTCAACTTCGATGTTACAATCTCATTTGAAATACTTCGAGTAGTGACTCGATCTATTCCCGATTAAAATATGAAAAATCTAAGCAAAAATAAGAACTGTTCGATTATGCAGGAGATGCAAGATAATTCTGCAATCGATAAACGCGTTAGTTTAGCCTGGTTTTGGCTTTCAAAATACTTGAAGCCTATTTTATAGATTATTTTTATTGTTTAATTTAGACCATACCTCCAGACGCAATGCTGAAGCGCAGCATGGAAGCGCAAAGCATTTACTGCTATGCCGGAGATTTCTACATATACAGACTGATCAGGAATCTCGGCCGAAGCCTAAGGGTGAGGTTAGTAGGACCCTAGACGACACGAGTGAAAACGTCTGCACATGCTCTGAATCCGTATGCAAATTAGTCGAAACATATGTAAATTTGGCTTTCAAACATGCCTAATAAATTGGACTTCACAAAATACCAAAACTAAGTGTCCATGCTTGAAACTTAAGGCTAATCCATATTGTGTTTGTTAATACAGTACCTTGGTCTGACAAAAGTATACTCTCGAACTTTTTTGTATACTTGGAGGAAACAAGCATTTATTTTCTCACTCAAACTCTTCAAAATTCTTAGAAAACGTGCTGAAATGCACGCATGCGCAAACGTTTTTCTCTAGGGTCGCCTACGCTATGACGAGCAGACCCAATTTTTCGCTTGTCGCTTACTAACAATTCATTATCACTCCTTTGCATGTGGGATGCGTTTATATAATTAGCTGCGAAGTACAGTCGGTTGGGATAAAAACCTTTCTCTTGGTTGTAATAGATTTTCATATACTATAATCACCACTTACTAAGCCGTCACCTATGCTCCACCTTTCCCTATGGAAAACTCGGCCGTGACGTGGACATGAGTTCACGCCTTAACCTTGTCCATGTAAAAATAATAACTAAGGTCTTATTTTTTTATTAATATTTTTAAAGGATTTCATTTAATCCTCTAAAAAAAACCTTTAAGACTCTTTAAAGAAGCATTTTTTACTACAATCCATTAAAGAGAAATAAAGAGATAGAGTTTGGGAAAAAAGAGCTGGACCATTTACCACAATTTCCCTCACCCCACCCCCACTACAAATTTCTCTCCTATGACTTATAATGAGAATAATATGGCGAAGAATTTGTGTAAACATTGTCAGCCACACATATACAGATAAAACAAAGGAATAAGGAAGATAAAGGCAATAAGCACAATGCTAAAAGACAGGTAAGCTTATAAGACAAGAGATTCTCAGAACTTACTTCACATTGAGCGAAAATTCCTTGAGTCGGATTGAATACAGTCGAGCCAGACGGCACTTTGACAGATTATTCTCTCAGATTGTGTTCTTCTTGTTTCCTTCACAAATCGTCCAAACAATTCTAGTTTGTTGTTATGGCTTTAAGTAGTGTTTTTATCTCGTTTTCCTTCGAAAAACGAGGGATATCTTCTTCTAAATCTTGAACTTGAACCGGCCATTTTGATTTTGACTATCGAAAAAGGCGGGAAATAATCTGAACACAGCAGCGCTTCTGATTTCAAAAATATAACGAGGATGCTGATTGGCCAGATTTAAACAAAGAATTTGATTGGGTAACGCAAATTGTGGGATTTTATTTTTTCCTCATATTTACTATTACTTTATTCTATAATTTTTGTTCTTTTATTGCTTTCTTGTTTTTTTATTGTTTTATTTTTATTGTTTCTAAGTGCCTTGTTTTTATCTTGCTATATTTTTTGCTTCAAATCTTTATCATTTTGTTTTCTTTCGTTCTTCAAGGTTCCTTTTCTTTTTTATTATATTTTTTTATTATTGATTTTTGTTTGTATTTGTTTTAGCTTTTTTTTGCTTTGTTTGTGTATGTGTTTTTTTTTAGCTGTTGCTAATTATAATAAACCTCTTTGGCTTGGGATAATGCTTTCCCATTTCAGACCATGTGTCATTCCCTTGAGAATAAGATTCTTTGTTTGAGCTGTATAAAATAAATAAATAAATTGACTTTATTTAATGAGGGTGACATAAGAAGACTTGAGAATAAGATTCTTTGTTTGAGCTGTATCAATATTCATGTGTCTTCTCATGTGCAACCGAGCACAAACCTTAAACAAATGATACTCTAGGGAATGACACGTGGTCTGAAATGGGRAAAAATTACGTCAAAGCCGAAGAGGTCTATTTGTAATAAATCATGACTGTTCATGCATCTCTCACTATAATTAAATAAGTCAACAAACATGACACTAAAATCTAATTTTCTTTAATAAGTTTTATTTATGTCTCTTACAACATGCACCTATACCTTCCAATATTTTATATTCAAAATGATTTATATTTTAGATATCCATAAAGCTTTTTACATTATAATTTAAACATATACTACATTTAGTGAGATTAATGCACTGAAATAAATTCATAGCTGCATGATCCCTTGCTTCTTGTTTGAATTAGATCTATCATAGATCACAAATGAGACTTAATAATGTATCAATACCTATAAACATAAACATACTTATTTTACAAGCTGTTTCAATTAAATATACACTATTCTTTAAATTTCATTTTAAATAAAACCATAAAAGTATAGGTTTTTTCACTTTGATATATCTCCAATATTGTGCTTAAGCTTCTCAACCATCTCCAACATTTCTCTGAAGATTACAATGTTTCTGACTATATATAGCAGATCTTGTGATGGATAGTCTGTCACATCTTCTTCTGGAGGGAAACTTCTCTGAAGAAATGATTAAAATATAGCAAGTAAATAAAAGGCCAAACTATGAAATATTATCTTTTAGTAAAAGAATTGTCTTCACCCCACCCCCACCCCTTTTGGAAAGATCTAGTACAACAGGGGAGGGGTGGAGGTATCAGAGTCATATAATATTATTAAGTGTCTTCCTAATCCCTTGCCTTCCCCTTTGTAAATGACTGGTACTACTGGGAAGGGGTGGGGGTGGGGGGTGGGGACTTTCACCCCC